TTTTGAATGCAATGCAATCAACGAGTCAGTGGTGAACAGATCAGAACTTGTTCATGATTTACGTCAATGGGGGAGGGAATTCAAGATTAAAGATCAGTTGCCAGGATTCTAGGAATTTCTCAAAGAAAAAGAGCGACGGAGGCAAGAAAGTACTTACTACATGTACCTACATCCATTGGCAGCCTGCATGAATGTACAGAGTACCACTTTCGATTTACTAATACATGGAATTTACCGTACCGGAGTGGTTCTAGGCTCAGTCCCCGCTAAACATTTATTTTATTCTATTTTTTATTTTATGTTATTTTAGTAGATTGGGTAGCCCGAAAGGTCGCGGCTGGCGTCATCGCATGTGTGGCTGTTTTCTCAACATAAAAAAATGAAAAAATTTTAAGATCCGACAGGGAAAAATTGGAAAATAGAAAAAAAAAAATAAAAGAAAGGCGTATCATCCCTGCTGGTCTTCCCCGAATTGATCAAACAAGATCGGCGTGGATCAGAGAAGGCTGCATATCCCACCTATTTCATAGGAGGCTTTGTGTTTTCTCTTTTCTTTTTTCGATCTCTCCTTTCAGTTTCAGGTTAGCATGCACACATACAAAAATAAAAAATAAAATAAAATAAAACCCAATGAATACCGAGGGTCCACGGCGACTATCAATACAATTTAGACTACTTCACCCAATGAGATATACACCTACAGAGGTGTAACTCCTATCCCCGAATCTCAAACGGTATGTGTATCCTGGACCAACTGCCCAACCCCCCCCCCGGGGTTTTGTCGCCATTGACCCGGGCCTATAGAATCCAAATTGAGTACTCGGAGAAATGCAAAAATCGCTCTTGCAACCCAAATATAGTAACTTAAGACCTGCATGTCTTACTACATGACTACTACTTTGTACCAGTACAGATACGGGCGCCTGTTCCGTCCTTTCTTTGCCTTACCACATTACTCGGTCTTTGCCCTTCTAGAGGCGAGGAGGAGAAACAGCGTAGGCTTGGCTGCCAAGATTGGTTTGGCCACCCAACATCTACTAGTAGTTAAGTAGTATCGAGGATTCCCCTTTCTCATTAGTAGTCTGTGCACCTGGCTTGGATGGAATGGGGTAACCCGGGTGGCCTGGTAAATTTGCTTGTCCTCGGTAAGGGTTGTGTATCCAGTCTCTTCCAATGTTATTGCCCAAGTGAATAATATATGGAACACCCGCACTGCCACATCCCTTCTGTGCCACAACATGAAGTGCTTTGGAGGAGGTTACATTCCCATCAAACTAATATGGCACTATGCAGCGCTATTTATATTAAGTAGAGACTAAAACTATTGTATTCAACCCCCCTCCCCTTTTGACAGCCTCCTTTTAACCCCTTTCCTCCGAGTGGCAATTGAATTTCAACTTGCAGAACAGTCAGGAGAATGTGTTGGCACATAAAAGGCCCGTATCTAAATAAGGTACCTGGCCGCATCCACGGATAGCTTGTTCAATGCCATCGAAACATTACATTTCCTCTGTACTCCGTACATTGAATAACATATATTCAATTTCAATGACAAGCGGTAAATCCATGTCTCTCCAAAGAGGTAACCATTTTGCTCACTTAGATATTTCCGACCGTATGTATGTTTGTACTTTTACCGTCGGTATTATCGTAAGAGAGTTCTCTCCGGCCGACAAGACGGCACAGAGTACAACGTGCTGGCAGCGCACTGTGGCAACTTGCAACGACGACATAAAGTATGAGGTCCACTGCCCTGGGAATCTGCTACGCTTAAGTTAAACCTGCGGACCGGCCGGGATGGAATGTCGGCCTTGACGCGCACTCTGGCCAGCGATCGTTGCTCAAAAAGATCATCTCGATGCAGATATGACCTCAGCAAGTGGAGGAGCTGATTCCCACGACCTTGGTTGACCGCACTTCATGCTCTCCACGTAATGTTGCTTTCTTTTCACCTCGTAATCTTCCAATGTATTGCATTTTTTTGTTTCGCTTTTCCTTCCTGCTTGGCTACCAGGTTCCAGTCTCGTAATCCTTGGCCGACGATTGTATGTTCCGTTTGTCTGATCGTACATAGTGGAGACATCAATCTCTTAGGGTTGTTCTCTCCATAATACCCCGCCCCAGCCACCAACAAAAAAAAGAAAATCGTAGTAGCTTTCGCGCATGATAGACAAAGCTTCAGGTGAGATATACTTAGTAGATCCATTTTAAGCTACTCACATTAAACTCAAGCCAATTGGAGGTTTCAAGACCCTTTCCCCATCGACAGTTCATCGATTGCGCAATTCCAATCGTAAACTACCCTAGTATGTAAAGTCTCTCACCGTCGATGACGATCAGATAAGCGAGACGTTGCTCCTCTCCCCAGTTTCGTTGATGAGATCCATTGAACCGACGCCGAGAAAAACGTCAAGCGACCCAGTATGCAAAGCAACAGCCTTACGTACCCCCAAGCAAGATTGGTCACGACGTATCCTGTGGCCCCGGGGATCCACGTGCTTCTTAACGGGGTCGCCGTACAGTGTACATACTATGTACAGGGCTATGTAGTTGTAGTACTTAGTAGAGATACATGCATGTTACACGTACTTTCCTCAGACCCAATTGCGATATATTCCTGGACTGCCCCAGAATGACAGCGCGTAGTACTTCAAAATCTGTCTCAGATTTATACTATGTCGTTTTATTGGTACTCTAAGGGCTCCATATTCATACACTACCTACGTATCACATGGCTGACTATGACTTGCTCTTCTTGAGCCTTTGGAATCTCGTGGTTGAGTGAATAGCCCACATTCCATGTTGTGAGACTGCACTTGCCTATTGGGTCTTGGATCTTGAGGCATCCGGGCCATCCTACTTTTTTTTAGTTCAATGTTCTATTATATGTGGCTGTTTTCCTTGGTGGTATTGTATAGGGAAAATCTCGTTGTGTACGTCCTACGTGATCTCCCTGATAAAGCACTACTCTGCGACACCACAAAGAGCCACAGAATTCAAAAAACAACAAACGTCTTTATTCTTTTTATCAGTGAGATCTATGACAGATGATCGGAACTTAATATACTCCCTCTACATCCTCGACATGATCATGTTTCCTGTAAATATTTCTGGTTCAATATCTCCATGCAAGACATGTCTAGTCGGTCACCGACCCTCCTTGCTTAATGCTACGCACTTGTCACGATGGGTTCGATGCTCACATAGAACTGTGAAAAAACTGTGAATTGCAACATATGGCTTCATGCAGAGAATGCGATACGTAGTGTCCGCTACACCCTTGCGACAATATCTCTCCTTGGTATTTGTATAGCCTAAATACGTACTCTATATCACTGTTGAGCACTGACATGGTCACAAATCTCAATATGTTTCGTTTAGCGAGGGAATTAAACCAGAACCTCGAGTATATTACACCGCCCGACCTAGCAACTACTGCTGTCAGAAAGTTCGAACCTGTTCAGTTTTCAGACCCACCTCGTTCTTCAATGACAGGTGATATATCACATCCGAAAGATCATTATCGGGGAAAGACTTCTATATGTCTGTTCTCTGCTCCGTACGTAGTATATCGGGTGGCTACCCCTCTGTGCTGCGTGAGCGCAAAACCAATATCGACTTCAAGACAGGTGGTCGGATTCGACCAAGGGTGAAAAGTAACCGAAAGAGCCTGATCCTAAATATTGTAGAATTCCACCGTGTGGAGCCTTTCCAATCATTGACATTCCTTAGGAGTGCACGGTGTTTCTTTATCACAACTGTTCCATTCATGATTACCAAGAAACTAAGATCATCGACAAGTCGAATTTGCAAACTGTTAGTCATTATACTTAAATCGAAAGTACAATTTATTGGCAGCATAGCTGTGAGTCAAAGGTAATTTTAGGTCAGATTAGAAGTGTAAGACAATAGAAGCTCAGCCATATTGCTGAAATTGTGGCTTTTGGAAATAAATATCACATCTAAACTACATAAGACGGACGAGAGGAAAACACTACCCTGATGGGGTGAAAAGTGTAATCTAGGAAGCGATCAAAATTTATATACTTTTAGTCCTTTATTCTTGATAATGATATTGCACTAGAAATATACTACTATGTTATTCGAGGTTGGATAACTAGATATTCATAAACTCGCCGCTGATCTTGTTAGACCACAAAACACCAGGATAGTATGGCTTGCCCTGATAGTGAGTAAGATTCCCACTGTATTTCGTTACAAAAAAAAGCCCCAGGTATTGGAATCAGTAGAATGGACGAAGAGAAGTTATCTCCTATCACCACTACTAGTATGTACTGGTGATTATAAGAGAGGACTTATGAGAGAAGATTCTATTTCTCTGTTATCAATCACCATATCAAACATATGTGTTATTTTGCTACTTAGGTTATTCAATTTCTGGAAGAAACCTTCCAGCGACTTGTCATTGTGAGAACCTTACAGTGAGGGTATGATATTATTTACACGCTGTTACTGCCTTATCCTAAAACCTCAGGCTCTAATGAATTCACTGGATTCTTTCCCATTCACTCCATAGACCCCTCACTCTTCTTGTCGTGTTGACCTTGTTTATTTTCCATTAAACTCTTCATCTCCTCCTACATAGTTATACAGCACAGACGTGCCTCTTCATTAACCTTATCCAAGAATACTCATAACAATCTAGACTCAATATCTAGGTAAGCCCTGAGAACTTTGTCTAATTTTTCTAGTACTGACCTATGCTTACTGGTTCCATGGAATCTCCTGGTCTTTGAATAGTTCCTATTAAAGCATAGTTTAGCCTGGTACTTTGAGACCTGAAGTCAATTTCCATCGAGTATTTATCGGGGATGCAACATGGAGCTGTTCAGGCTTTGCCCTACGCCCCGTCCGGAGCATTCTGAAGAGGATGATCTTGCTTTGGCGATTGACATTCCGTTGAATACCCAGGGTTCTGGACTGTCGGACGAGAAAGCAAAAGAGATCACCGTCATCGAAAAAAGAGAGTGGAAGAGCTGATGCAGCAGTTCACCAAAGGCTTCGACCCCGGCTCCTTTCCCAAAGAGGTCATGGACAGTCTTCCCCTGTTGTCTGACAATCCTTTCCCCGGATCGTATGCTCACTTATCTATCATCCTGCTCGAGAATTGTGGCAAGATGCAGGGAATCCAGGCAAATTTGGAGAATTGGCTTCGTGAGCGTTACAAACGCTGGGCGATTACTTATCCAGATAATACTAGTATCACGGATGAGACATTCTTCGGTGCCGAGCTCGAGATGCTCAGAAAATTATTGGCACCTTTGCGTGGAGAGGATGCTACGCATGTCTACTGGATGAACTCCAGGTATCCTCATATTGTGAAGGTCTGCCAGCAACTTGAGGCATCTGTGAAAGTCATTGAGGAATTCAAGCAAGACATTCTCCAGGCAATCAAGTCCAAAGACGAGCACAGTAAGGAAATAAACCCCTCCGAGTTCAGAGCATCAAGCTGATAGCCCGCTTAGAGACCATTTACAATCCTCTTCCGGTATCCCAGGCCCGAGCAGCAATGATGAGCATGAGGGACATTCGACTCCGCGCGTGCAAGGCTTCTCTGAGCTGGGACGGCTTTTCAGAGTCTGATATCGAGCTTACCGTGTTTCATCAGTACTACAAAAACCACTTGGCCAGGTCGGACCCAGCAAAAGCGCGCGCATCTGGCTGGCTGCCACCATCGTCGCCGAAAATCCCTCGTGCCTCTGCCGAAGAAGCGGAACCGGGTGATTTGGCTCATTGGCCATCTGAGGATTCCAATAATGTGTCACTCAACCTGATGCTCAAAACGGCGTTGTGGCTGAGCGTGGCAAGAGGATTGGCTGCCGTACATCTCTTCTGCGATATCGCCAGACACTTCACCATCCACGAACCGTCTGCAAGGGCCAATGACAGTTACATTTCTTACTTGCAGCATCTTACTCAGATCAGGATCTCGGTAGATGGGGTTCGATCACGTCGCTCTACACCTTTCCCCTACCGTGACGAGGTCTTATCCCGCTGCAACCCGGACTATTTTGGTGATGTGTGGCGATCCAACCAGAGTTTGACAGCCGACCTTGTCGGAAACGTGTCTTTCTATAAAGAACCTGATGAGAGCTTCAAGCTGTCAGAAGCCCCGCCTCCCCGTTGCTCTTTTCGTAAAGAGATGCGCACACTCGAACAAACTGTTGCGATTCAGGGAAGCTTGGCTGGGACCTTGTTTCCTACGCTTGTTCGCCCAAGGCAGGTCCCCGGAGGTGAGCAGGTAAGGTACTCTCGTGATAACTTTCCCTCGGATCAGAATAGCCTAACTGACCTCCACCTCTTCTGACTAGAAGGACAGGATTGAGGCTCCCCAGCCAACACGCCTTCCAGCCACAGTCCCTGCCCTAACCCGAGCAATAGAACAGACCACCTTGGCAGATGCTCATGAACGCCGTGTCGGCAAGCAGGCTTCATCAATGCACAGCAAGCAGCCCTAGGAAATAGGGCAAGATTGATATGGTTATTGCACATCACGGCCCCGCTACCTTTGAAACGAACAAAAACAAAACTTTTGTTCATAAAAGAATTTGGAAAACACCCAGCCTCTCGAGCTAGGCTTTTTTGAAAGTACAAACACAAACAATAGTCCACGAATGATGGTTTGTTTATTCAAGCTTGTTTACAGCCATATCCCTTTCTTGTGTATTGTGATTATTTCTGTCTTTGCCTCTCTTCTCTCTCTATCTCATTCAATATCCTGCAAGAATCTTCCCTCCAGTTCTTCTCCCTCCTCATTTTCAACTCAAATCTGGGCATGTACAGTTCATCCGTTTTCTCAGCAGCCAGAACAGACCCTGCTATTCCCATTGTTGAAAGAGAGCAGATTTTGTTCCATAAATACATCATAACTGTTCCTGTATCAAGCCATCAACATATTGTGAAAGAAAAGAGAAGATGCAAAAGGAAAAATAAATTCAACTCACTAGACTACATAACCATATCTTGTTTCTGTTACTTTTCCTCCTATTTCTCGTTTGTGTATCCCGGTTTCGCGAATATATCCTTAACAGTACCAAATCACCTGGAGTCAATACAGAACAGCTTGAGCTTCATATTTGGAGTCTAGCATTGCTATTATTAGATAGAATGGTACAAAGATGGTTTCTTTCGCAGGAGTTATTGGGTTTGTGTATGTTAATGTTTTCTGCAGCTCAAATGTCTCTGTATATTTTGTTGAAACTTGGCTATTGAGTGCTGGGGTTTGTACAGATTAGACAGGATATGGAAAGAGGAAGAGTGTCATGGGCTTATTTTGCTATGGCCTAAATTGATTAACCAAGGATCATGCTTCATTATCTGGACTAGTCTGTGAGGTACTTTTGTGGTATCATATGCGCGAGGAAAAAAAAATGAAAGAAAGAGAGTAACGTGGAAGATAAAAAATAAAGAGCAGATTGACCATGCACTATAAATCGCCAATGAGAAGAACCCGAAATTATCGTTGGAAATTTCTATACGTCCATCATATCATACGATAGTAAAGGATCGATCATCGCCATATCATCAGCATTTGATGTCTCCGCATCAACATCTTGCATCATAAAGTTGGAGTCGAATTCCAGAGTACTGGGGAAGCCTGGTGGGTTCAGGCCCGCAAGGGTATTTTCGTCCTTTGTGCCCAGATCTGCGCTCGCACCCAAGGCTTCCCCTAGAATATACGGTTCAGAAGAGGGGTCATCATCAAACTCAAGTCCGTAGATTCCAAGCATGTCACCGGTAATAGGCTCTGGGTCTTCAGCCAGCAATGCTCGCTGCATGAACATATCGCGGATCTCGTCTTCTGTACAGCTGTGTTTGCTGCCCATATGCACCCAAAGGTCATAGTTGCGGTGAAAGCGGTGCGCACAAGTATCAAAGAAACATGGAATATGGCGACCTGTTTCTTCGGCGTAGCCCTCACCCGTTAGAGCGGCCAGTGCTGATATACCAGTAGGTCTGCTTGGAGCATTCTGTTGTCCTTTACCAAGACCAAGACGTTGTCGTCGTTCAGCTTTAGCATTCAGGCAGCCAAGATGTGCGGTACGAATATGTTCTTCGAGAGCGAGTTTACTTCCGTATCGCTTTCCACATCCATCGCCATTCCACCCCGCTACCTTTTTGGAGCTCGAGAGGTCTGTCTCGCCACAGACGAACCGTTTCTCGCCTTGGTGGACGGTCCGGATATGGACCGTCAGATTTCCTTTCTTCGTGAAGCTTCGATCACACCCGGGCACCACACACGGAAATACTTTTCGTTCTTCGAGACTTACATCGCCGTGTGCGACTTCGAGATGCCGACGTAGTTCACGGGCTGTCGAACATGTGATAGAACAGTTGGAGCATTGTGGGGGATGGGCAGTTTTAATGTGAGCCTGAAGAAGAGCATAGGTAGGGAAAGTCACTGCGGACAAGCCAGCCGAAGGATTATCTGAGGACGGGTCGGCTACTTCCATATGCTGTGAGCACTCCGTGCAGCTGAACCGTTTCTCCGTGTGAACTCTGCTCTCATGTGCTCGCAGGTGACCAGCAGTGTCAAAAGCCATAGAGCATTTCAGACCAGTACTTGGATCAATATGCGGGCATTGAAATGGTTTTCGCTTCAAGTGAACGGTCGTTATATGCTTCTGTAGGGTCGAGTGCTTTCGGAAGGTTTCATTGCAAGGGGGATATTCCGTACAACGGTACTTTTCTTTTCCATCATGGGCAGCCAGATGGCGACGAAGACGGGACCCGGTTACAAAACTCTTTCCACACTCCGGCCGATCACATACATAATCTCGAACTCCGGTGTGAGCGCTTTTGATATGATGATTCAAATGCGAAGCTCGCAAAAACGTCTTATCGCAATTTTCGTGAGTACATTCGAAGAGCCGTTCGTTATTATGCGAACGGAGATGTTCCTGGAGGCGGGCTGGGCGATTGAAGGCCTTTGTGCATCCATCGAAAGGGCAGCGGTGAGTCTTCAGCTCGGAAGGGTACCTGGCTGAGATAGTTGAGATGGGGGTTGCCGGGGTCTCATGAAGGCTATTGCTATCTACACTCCCTTCCTCTGACGATGCGTAATCGTAATCGGAATGCGCTTCCTCGTAGATCGGGTCTACATCCATTGAAGAATGCTTAGTCTTTCAATGATACTCAAGGCCGGAAGGGAGCTTCCTTACCGGTATCATCCAGCGCCGTCTGCTTGAGGATCTTCTTGGGAGCATCAAAGCCTTCCGAGGCTTTTCTTTTTTGACCCATAGCTCAAGAGCACCAGAATTACTACCTCCAAACTTATGATTGCATTTAGGGCAATAATTTGATCAAAGAGCAACAGTTGAAAACAAGGATAAATTTTATTTGAGATTGCTTATCGTGAAATTTTGCCGAAAATGTTGTTAAAGCGGTGAGATTAAGCTCCCAAAAGGGACTAGTGTCTAAGGAACTTTTTCCGCCGCCTTCTCGAGTCGCGATATCGAATTCTTCACTCGGAAGCTCCGTCGCAACATCAATCGCTTTACCCCAGATCGTCCGGGACTCCGTATCGGCTTTTCATTCGCTTGTGTGGCACTTGTTCTCCATCTTTCCCCAGTTCCTTTGCGTTTAAACAGGCACAATGTCTGACTACGGTGACCACGGTGACGAGGACAAGTAAGAAGCCATTTCTCCACAGCAACCTACAGCTAGCGCAAAGAGAAGAGGATGCGCCAAACATGATCTCTTTGCCGGATGGCTGTTTTAATAGAAGTTCTTCTGGTTTAACACTTTTCTAGCTATGACTTCGACGCCGGTCAGGACTACGATGACAATGAGCCCGAAGACTTCTTGAACCCCGAGGACATTGAGGGCGTGGAAGGCGCAGAAGCATACGGAGAGGATCACTACACTCCCGCAGTCAATGGAGATCGTGTTGTCGTTTCGGGCGATCCTAGCGCCGGATACTCGGGGAAAGTGATGGAGCAAGTGCGGGAAAGGAAGGTGCCAAACGACCAGCGCACGACAACCCCATACATGACCAAGTATGAGCGGGCGCGTGTTCTGGGCACCAGGGCCTTGCAAATCAGGTGGGTCATAGACGGATACTTCCTGGACGCGGGGAATTGTTGTTCTGACATATTTCTAGTATGAACGCTCCTGTGCTTGTGGATCTGGAAGGAGAGACAGATCCCTTGCAAATCGCCATCAAGGAACTGAACCAGAAGAAAATTCCCCTCATCGTGAGAAGATATCTGCCTGATGGATGGTAAGCGACATTTTTGATCCCCTAGCCTTTCAAACTCGGGTCTGACTGTTGTATCTCTCATTTAGGTACGAGGACTGGACATGCGAAGAATTACTCTAAATAAAAAGATGGAATGGGCGGCTGTGTATTGGAAATTGGGCTCTTTCTATTATCATGTACGTTCTTTCATTCCTTGTGTGCAGCATAGCGTTTGGAGTTTTGGAGTAGGAAAGCGGACCATAATGGCTAGCCAGCCTTGGTCACTGGGAAGGGAAAAAACCACAAAACGATAACGCAGTACAGTTTATTGCAATATAGAAAAAGAAAAAATAGTTTTGATGTTGACACTGTTGCTTTCCATAGGATCCTACCATGCTACTATAAAATAATTTTAGACGCGCGTTGACACTTGTCATCCCGATTATTGGTGACCAGTTTGCTGCATTCACGAAAGTACCACAACTATCTCTACACCTTACTTGTATAACCCACGGTCATGGACACTTCAGGACGAGGCATTACTGCCTGTACAGTACCCGTTTTATGAGATTACGGGGCACCAGGCTTCAGGGTCATTGAAACCCTTGTGAGTATTCACTCAGAAGGGCAGGCTTCTAAGCTCTACATGCTTTGGTATAGGTGATTCCACCTCGAATGGTTGAAGGTTTCTGAAGGGCACCACAGCGTTCAATTTCGGACAGTCTCATACACTTCTATTTTTGACAGCTTCTATACACTATACCCCATTAGTGACGGGCCTAACAACCGTAATATATTGGCTGGGTAGCCTGGATTGTCTCTATCTAGTCTACCATAAATCAGGACAGATGTCATACTACTTTGCAGCGAGCGTCGGTTATTTGGGCCATAACTACACTGTGGCTTAGCTTCGAAGCGGATGCAGAGCCAAGCTCGATAAAGTTACCCTAATGTGTAAGGTGGTGGAGACATCGAACTAAGTATAGACTCTATAGAGAGGAAGGTGACAAAACGTAGGAGCGGACTACGTACATTGATTGAAACCGTTTTAGGGTCTGCGCCGGGTGGGAGATTTTCCGGGGCCGGTTCAAATACGATCATGTCAAACAATGCAAAAGGCGATAAACAGGTGATCAAGGATTATTCAAGTTCCCCCACATTCTTAAACAAGAGACCGGGTTACGTCGCTGCTGATTGTACAGAGGTCCCTGGGGGTCAGACGGACGATAATGGCCTTAATGCAGATATCAATCGATAAGCCCGCATCATGATCTCCCACGTGGAGATTTAGGGCTTCTCCGTATCAATACAGGTTTATTGTTCGGAGGTGAAATCGGAACCCGCAGACTCCACTGGGTCGTGACTCATGGAAAAGGACCTTAATTTCGTCCACGTCCTTTTTTGGGCCGATATACGGTTCATATGGGCTGAGCCAATTGATACCAAGACAGCCAAGATTCCTGAATGATCATCCTCTGAAAGATCAAATGTGACATGGATTAATAATATGGTCTCCTTCCCCGCTGGATAATCGGCACGTCGTCGCACTACTCGGCTAGACGTTTGATGCGGTGACTGCCGACCACTCGTCCTTGAGCCAATCAATGATGGGACCTCATGAAACCTACAGGTCTCAATTATCATCGGTCTGAAGCTCAGGTGTTCAAGTGTTGGGCATTCGCAATACTTGGGGTAGCCTTGCAGTCGATACATCAGGATTGAAGATTCAGCTTCGGATATGGTAGTCACCGTCGGCAATGCGCCGTGAAACGGTTGACGCCCTGTGTAGTGTGTACTCGGTAATTCAGTCGGTAGCCAGTAGGGTGCTTTCCACCGATGGGTCACTAACACTTTTCTTTGTTCTAGGCTACTTTTTTCGCAATTTTTCTGGCTTTGCTTGAAGGATGGGACCCGTGATTGTGGACCGTCTCCCCGAAAGTCTCCACCGGCCCTGGGTTTAACCTGGTGCGCGAGCTTAGCCTGCTATCGGCCCGCTGAGACAAAAGGCGCTGAGAAAATGTAATGCCAATTCATAAATCTCCACTGTTCCGGTCTCAGACCACTGTAGTTTCCTCTTCGCTTATCTTTCTGAGGTAGCATTACTACTGGCCTGCCAGACTTCGTCGGAAAGCGCCTCCCCAAACTTGACCACAGCGTCGTTGTGCGTGTCTATCTCACCCTCCCGTCCTTGCCTGTGTCTTCTATGTGTTTCTGCATTCGCAGAAGGGCTGTCTAACCGCAAGCGAGCCGCTGTCAAAATGGGTACGGATGCTGATATCGAAGCGAAGGTTATCGTGGATCCCGGGGCAAGTAACAATCTACATAATGGCAACGAACAGAGGTCCGATTTGTCGGACTCTTCTTCTGGAGAGAAAGCCGAAGAAGAGCCAACCTTTGACACGGGGTTGAATACCTGGCTGCAAGTCCTTGGCTCGTTCTTCCTGTTCTTCAATTCTTGGTATGTACCATGCATACGTCGTGCGATTCACTTCGACATGTATCCTTTACTTGTGAGGCAACTCACTAACTTCGTCATATTTTAGGGGTGTCATCAACACCTGGGGTGCATTCCAAACGTACTACGAACAGAGTTTCTTGTCCGACATGTCCTCAGACTCTATTGCCTGGATTGGATCCTTGCAGTCGTTCCTTCTCATGTTGTTCGGAGTCGTGACTGGTCCCCTGTTTGATGCAGGCTATTTCCGTGGCCTTATCACCTTCGGGTCTGTTGGGCTGCCATTTGGCCTTATGATGACTAGCCTATCCTCCAAGTTCTGGCACCTAATCCTCGCACAAGGGGTTGTTATCGGACTATCAGCCGGCTGTCTGTTCGTCCCCTCGGTCGCCATCCTACCTCAGTACTTCCAGAAGAAGAGAGGGCTTGCCAATGGACTGGCTGCCTCGGGAAGCAGCATTGGTGGCGTGATCTACCCAATAATGTTCAATCAACTGCAGGAGAGGGTTGGGTTCGAGTGGGCTACGCGTGCGTTGGGGTTCCTTTGTTTCGGAACCTGCTGCATCTCATGTTGCCTCATGCGAATGCGCTTCCAGCCTAAGGAGAAGCGTAAGCTGTTTCAGCTTTCAGCGTACAAAGAACCGCAATTTGTCATGTTTTCCATCGCTATGTTTATGGGCTTTTTGGGGTTCTACAACTTCTTGTTCTACGTCCAGTCCTACGCCATCCAGACTGGGATTGTCGACTCCAACCTGGGTTTCTATCTTCTTTCCATGCTGAACGCCGGGTCCACCTTTGGACGAGTCTTGCCCAACTTCGTTGCCGACCATACCGGCCCTTTGAACGTGCTCACCCCTGCCGCTACCGCTACCGCTATTCTTGCCTTTGCCTGGATTGGTGTGCACAACGTCCCTGGTATCATCGTCTTGGCCGTTCTATATGGTCTTACTTCCGGTGGTTTCGTTTCGCTGCCGCCGGTGGTCATGGCTAGTATGACCAAGGACATCCGCACCTTGGGAACACGCTTGGGTATGGTCTTCTCAACCACTTCGTTCGGACTGTTAATCGGAACACCAATCGGCGGTGCCATTCTGGACAGCACCCATAAGTATCTTGGTGTTCAACTTTTCACTGCCTGCTGTCTCATCACAGCTTCTTCGATTTTTGCTGCGCTGAGACTGTCTCGCACAGGCTTCCATCTTACTGCTAAAGCCTAAACTCAGGAGCCCTGCCTCTTCCTATCAGGCCTGAAGGCATATGAGGAATGCTGTTCTTGCCCTTTGGAGTCAAGCCCCGGTAGGAAAACGAGGCCGCTCCAACACAGAGCTATCGGCATCCCTTCTCAGGATTTCTATGCCCCTAACGGGACACCCCAACTTGAACAGATCGTAACGGTCGAATGATATCTCACCACACGAAGTCATTGCATTATGCCGGGAGGCTGGAGTTTTGGGCCCTAGAAAAGTTGCATGCTTTCATAGATACTTGCTTTTAAGTTTGCACGTTTATACATAATTTAATGTCAAATAGATAGACTACAATTTCAGGACTTGACGCTACAGTATTTTAAGCGCCAGAAACATTTTAGAGCGCATGTTCCACTCAATGCAGTTTTCTTCATTCCGTACACATTTATGTCGACATCATCTAATAGAGCGCGAAGCACTGCAAAGAATCCCGAATGCAAGAACAACACAAAAGAGACAGAAGATCGAAGATAACACCGAAACACCTGAATGCTAAAATATACCGCACTTTTATTATGCACATACCCAAGCAAACATCGAAACAGACCAGGGACTCTATGAAACATCCTCTGGACTAACAAGGAAATCCTCCCCATTTTCCCGTACATGTTGTAGATTCTTATCTCGAGAGCATGGCTTCCGCATATCAAATGCGTCTTCACCGGAATCTGACATTCCCGTCGGATCATCGCTATAGTAATTCACCACCCGTCGGAATACAGAGTATCTGTTGTAGGAGCCCTTGTCAGCCTTGCAAATTTGCGACATGCGCATTGGATCGCGCGACACTCACCCCATTCCCTTATACATGTCCACCGCTATCTTATTCCCAGACCGGACATACAAGTCCACAAACCAGGCGTCGTTGATGTCGGATCCACGCTCGAGTCTCTCGGTGAGACGGCGAGCGTGGCCAAGCCGACGCCATGCGGGCGCCACCGTCAAGACGGTGATGTGGCCGTGCCAGGGAGTATAGTGTTCAGAGTGACGCATGGACGGGTGTTGTTCTTCGGTCTTTCCCATGACTGTTATATGAATGGCGCCACGTTAGCGACATGCATATGCGATATGTAGTGGGGCCCAGAATCTAAATCTGGGTGTCATGGAACAAGCATTATGGTTATTCCTTCCACATACTGTAACCGACAATGCCTTCCCGGCGGTCTTGGACGCTGCTGAAGAGGGAAGGCCACCGCATGAGGTAATTAAGGTAGAAGCCCAGGTCATAGTTCTCCGTTAATGGGTCGAGATTCGTCAGGTTGAGGGAGAGTAGGTCCGTCGGGGACATGCGCCGGATGGAACTCATGGTGGTGTGGTCAGTATGAAATGGAAAGTGAATGAATATAAATGGATGGTTAAGAATAGGTAATCAGTGATAGGTTATATAGAAACAGAGGAATATGGTGGGAAATTATTAAATTGTCCTGAAGGTAATTGATTGAATTGAAGCTCCGCCGTGGGGAAAGAAACCATCGGCCCAATTGGGGCTTCGGCGGTCACGGGAAAAATGCCGCTCTGGCCGATGATTTGGACGGCCTCTACTTTCCCTTATTTTGCTTCACGCCGTCGTCTCATTCATTCACTCCCTCGAATCATTGTCACTGGTAAATATCTTGGTTTGTTTTGAGGTACAGAGCTTGAACTTTTGTCTCTCTTTTTTTTTTACAAATATTTCCTGGAGCGTCCTGGTGATGCGGTTGACCCAGTATTGTTGACATCCTTTTACTCTACTTTCCCCTCCGCGCCGCAACCCCTGGTCACGTTCCCAGACCATCATCGGAGGGACCCTTGCAGCTGCAATTTCCAACGGCTCGTTCGCTCCGCTATATTAAAACGTTGTCTGAGTGACACCTGCAGTCTTTCTTTCCCAACCTTCTCTTTTTCCGATTATCCATCCAACTGGCTGGGGTTGAACCATGCCGTCCATCCCACCATCTCCCCTGAGGCTGTCTCACCGCCATCATCCGTCCCAATCTAGCATCGACTTTGACCCTATTTCTCCAGGCACATATGCTCCAAATGGCTTCTCTCATAGCCCTCCAAGGTCGCCTATGTCCCCTCGCTTTTCAGCCCCGTCATCGCCGGCCCGCGGACACCATGCGCAAAGCATAAACGGATCTCATTATAGAATGTCGGGTGACTTTGGCAGTGCTGCGGATATGGGTGGGGGTGGCTTGGGAAACCTTGCAGACGAACTGGCTGATGCTTGGGAGCAGGAGGAGGGTGGCTATGGGTATGCGTCAGGACAGGAAGTCGAACATATCCCTGCCGATTCGCAACATATGGATCGCAGCGACTCAGAGGACGGCTATCACATGGGAACCAGGACACCGTCGTCGGGTTACTCGTCCGAGCGTGCTTCCCTGCAGCCTCCAAAACCCAAGACTCGGAATGGTGGTCATCGACATCGCCGAACCGAATCACAATATGACGGTTCAGACTACGGCCCTGACTCGGACCTGGAGGAAGCGGCGGACATCTCGCCAAGTCTAGAGATGCAGATGGCGGAGGTTGAGAGCTTGGCTCGGCGGGGATTGGAAAACAATGGGAGTGAAAGTGATCACGCCATTGCTCGCGTTGTTGAAGCACTTCGGGACCTTGGTGGACAGAGTGGGATCGAAAACAATGCTATGAGGTATGGCCGTCCTTCACTCGTCCAGACTGATTTGCTTTTGTGAAGTAATTATACTGATTTTGGCCTCTGCGCACAGACTTATCACAGCACACTCTTCCATTACTTCACATCTCACCCACCAAACTCGGACTCTCCAAACACTCACCCACCCTCTCCTTTTCTCTCCTTTCCCTCTTCTCTCCGAAGATGCTATAGATTCCCTCATCCCTCTGATCGACGACGAGCTCTTACCCAACCTCCCTTATCCTTTCCCGGTCCAATCCCGTCACTCATCAGGACCTTCAACACCCTCTCACTCACCCGCTCTTAACCCGCTCTATTCCCTCCAATCACTCGTTTCGCAAACATCCGAAATCACACTCTCTTTACAAAGCTTAAGCGATACGCTTTACGAATCGCGCCAGCTAACAGCCACCGCCTCTCGAAGACTCCGATCCGCGCGCGAACTGGTCTCCGAACTCCGCCGTGAAGAAGAAGGTCGCGAAGAGGGCACCCGGTGGATTGAGAAAGGCGATTGGGATCGCCGTCTTCGAGACCGCGAAGCCGGGCGCGAGTGCGGAGACGTTGTCAGCGGCTTCGAAGCCGTCTGCGGAGAATGGAGGGAGAGACTCTTCGGAGCTGCCGGCGCAGAAGCCGCCACTGCCGCTGCTTGAAACCAAACTCACGAACGGAAATTCTCACGATAACATCGCCTCAGCATATGAATGAAATCGCGCAATATTAGAGGCTGCGACATACCCCTTTTTACTTTGACTTTGACTCTTCCTTTCCAAGTATATAGATCTTCATTCACGTCGTGCACTTATTCCTTTGTTCTGAACCTATTCTCAACATAAATACTACACGAGACAACCAGACATACATACATACACCCTATCTATCTCCTTTTTTGAAGTACTTACCCTGCCAATCGCGGCCCATTAGATACGACATCTTAACCAATCCTCTTTGTTGTTCGTTTTCTTTCTCTTCGCAGGTCGAGATACATTCCTTTACCAGTTACACCGGTCCGTTTCTTGCCAGTGTTTTCTGCTTTGTACAGTAAGGCGTTGAAAAGGACACACCAGATAAACAAAGAATGCCATGGATAGTTTAACGGAAAGTACCCACCCAAGGAAATAATCAGGCGAAGTACGCTACTCAGTTACTGGGTGTAGCATGTTCGTAACAATTCCCGAATCAATCTGCAATATTTATATGAAAGGTAGGTAAGAGTGTCAAGTCAAATCAACATGAATTAGACATCATACGCCACCAATTACCCATTGGCAAGAGTTTGAACAAAAGCGGAAAGGTGACAATCATATACGGTGAAAGAAAGAGACTCATAGCTTCTGCATTATCCATCCAAGTAGCTGTCGGATATGACAGGAAAGAAGGTGAAGACTTCATTTAATGGAACATAAATGCATTTGGTGAACATGAGAGACTATCTAGGGACCAGATTAAAAGATGTCCCTGGAGTCTCAGCGATCATCATAGAAACAAGGTAAATGATACCGTGGAGGAGACAATGCGAACATGAGGGTGAGAGAGAATAAAAAGGGAGAAATTGTAAAAGCAACACATCCTTTCAACATTCCAAGAAACTTTTCAAACGACGTGAATTATTTACTGGCCTTGTTGCTGCTTCCACCGAGGCACCCACTTTCCAGCGCTCTTAGGCTCCTCAGAAGTAGTAGCGGGGGTTTGCGTACGAGAGGGGGGAGTGGAGGAACCGGACTCGCGAGCACTAGGGGGCACGTAGCGGCTTGGTGCAGCGCCGTTAGAAGGGGGAGCAGCGGGGGCAGTTGAAGAACCAGAGCGGAGATGAGGAGGCACGTAGCCACCGGTCCGGCGGGGAGGCTGGGCAGCAGCAGGCTCTTCCTTGGCAGGCTCTTCCTTGGCAGGCTCAGGAGCAGCACCGCCGGTGGCCTCCTTGGCGGCCTGGCGCTCTCTCCAGCTAGGTCCGCCACCAGTGCGAGGAGCCAGGTTGAGGCGAGGAGCAGTACGTTCGGGCTCTGCACGAGAGGGCGGCGCTGGAACACCGGCTTTCCGGGAAGCAAGACGGGCTTCGGCTTCCTCTTCGCGCTGCTTCTGTTTAAGGGCAATCTCATCGAGTTTCCTGGAAGTAAGGTTAGCAACACTTCTTCAATGTTGACAAAATAAGCCAACAGGGGTCAAAACCGTGCACTCACTTTCTCTCCTCTTCGCGCTTCGCCTTCTCCTCAGCCAGAACACGTCTGCGCTCTTCCTCCTTGGCAGCACGCTCTTCTTCTTCACGCTGAATACGCTCCTCTTCCTCCTTCTGGCGACGTTCAGCTTCCTCACGCTCAGCCCTCTCACGGCGCCTACGGTCCTGCACTTCCTTGATACGTTGCTTCTTCTTGGCCTCGAAGTCTCTCTCGGCAGCCTTGCGGCGCCTCTCAAACTCCTCGTGACGCTTCTCAGAGACATCCTTGCGGAAGTTGTTGAACACAGGTACCAGACGGCTGAGACGGTGCTTGAGAGCAACAGCCTCCTTGTGCTTGTCCTCAGCCTCCTTCAAGGTCTCGGCCTTCATGGCCTCGTAGAGCTCCATATCACGCTTCTTCTGTGCCTCATAGTCGGCAGGAATGTGTTTCAACTCCTCGCGACGGAAAGCACGCTCCAGATGGTCAATACGCTTACCAGTGGTGCGAATACGATCGTTGAGTTCGTTCTTCTCCTTCTCGAGCTGGGCGAGCTTCATCGCACGAAGGCGGTTAGCATCGAGGTCCTTGAGATCAACTTCGCTGAGGTCAATGCCCTTCACTCCGCTCTTCAACTCCTCAATTTGCTTCTTGAGTTCCTGCTCGCGGATACGATCCTGCTCATCCTTGATGCGCTTCTTCTCACGCTCGCGCTGCTCATCAAGCAGACGCTGCTTCTCAGCCTCTTGGAGCTGCTGGGTACGGATCCGCTTGCGGGTCTCCTCCTCTCTCTGCTTACGCTGGAGAGCGTCAGTGGCGGCCTCCTTCTTCTTGTCGATAACGACACGGCGAGCAAGGTCTCCTCATGCTCCTTGGCAGCACCAGCAGCAGCGCGGGCGTGGGCGGCCTGCTTGGCTTGCAGACGAGCCTCGTTGTACGAGGGATCGACATACATGCACGAAACATGAAGAGTCTTGGCGAGGCGGGTGAGCTGCAGGCGGGCGATTTCAGCAGGAGTGTTCTGCATGCGCTGCACCGAGCCGATCTCGCTTTCAGCAGATCCAGCGGCGCTGCCAGAGTGCAGGGCCTTAGCAGACGAGAAGACGTCGGTATCGAAGGTAAGAACACCCGAGATGTGGTCCACCCGAATGGCAAGATCGCCCTTCTTGCAGCCGTTCATGATGAACTTCTCGATCATGGCGGGGGTGACCTGGAAGGGGTCGGGGAACTGGGCCAGCTCGTACACGAACTTCAGCGAAACCGACTCATAAACCTGAGACAGCTGCTGGAAGAGACGGGTCAGAATGACCTGCTGAAGAGGCACAACGTACTTCTCCATCTCGGGATCAGCGCCAATCTGCTTAAGGATAGGGGTGATCTTCTTGCAGATGGACAGGGGGTGGAAGTCGACCTCGAGGATGTTGTAGAGGTCACGGATCTCAGGGCGAACACGCTTCAGCAGTCCCTTGTTGAGAGCATCCTTGAAGAGGACCGCACGGGTGGGGGACTGGGCCATACCCAGAAGGTTGGTGAGGCGAGTGTTCTTGTTCTTGCGGACCTCATCCACATCGACCAAGGCGCCACGAGAGCGAGAGGTGCTGATCACGGGAATGGCAAGAGCAGACAGGAGGACGAAAGAGGCGCTTGGTCATGTCGGCATCAGTAACAGAAGGGTTCTCCTTCTTGGTACCCTGACCGGCGGCGAGGGCGGCAGCGGACTGGCGGAGGAGGTTGTAGTAGCGGCTCCAGGCAGCGGCGTGGAAAAGATAGTTCTCGCTAACCAGGAAGATGCGAGCCAGCTTCTCGTAGTAGTTGGCCATCATGACGTTCTTGGCCGGGCGCTTGCTGAGGCTCAGAAGGGTGTGGATGTCCTCAATGCTGCGGAAAGCCTCCTGCCAGAGTTCCAACTCAACGGCCACATTCAACTGCTGGAAACGGGTATCCAAATGGCGCTGGAGAGTATCGGGATCGCTCAGGTTGATGGCGTGCATCTGAGCGGAATACTTGGCAGCGTTCTGCACATGGTTCCGGAGGAGCTCACAGAGCCTGCGGAATTCCGTCTTGCGGGTGTATTTCAGGCAGAACTGGAAGGCCTGGAGAGCGGTGGTCTGGTACATCACCTCGAGACGAGCATTGTTCTTCAAGATTTCCAGAACGGTCCGGTAGGTCTCCCAAAGGAACTTGAGCCATGGGGTCACGACAGCACGGTCGGTACGATCACGGGACTGCTCACCGGAAACAGTGGCGAGAAGGATGGTCTCGGGGGTTTCGATGGCTTCCAAATCTTCCACATTGGTCGAGGGGGCGGCCGATTCCAACGAGGACTGGATCTCATCGGCCTTGGCTTGGGCTTCGGTCACCTTCTTCTCGGCGAGTTCGATAAACTTCTTGAGGACGACCTGCAAATACACACAACCTGTAAGCTTCTATCTGATCCACCTCCGATCGCCCATGGTTCGCGTACCTCGATAGTGGCCACATTGGTGTTCTGAGCGATGTTCTTATATTGATACAATCCATCCTTGGCGGCCTTTCCCTTGCGAAGATCCACGCACAGCTCGACGAAAAGTAGCATAACCGGTTCCAGCGAAGCGATGGGGCTGCTGCGCGTCCTCTTGGAGGTGACATGTTCGTGAAGGACATTAAGGGCGGCGGGGGCCTGGCCCACGGCGATAAGTTCCTGAGCCCTCTAAGACGAGCAAAAACGCCAGCGTTAGTTTCCATCAAGCATCTCCGTTATCCGCGACCGTCATGATTTTGCATCGATGTCCATCGCAGCAGAAGGTTCCACTCACCTTCAGGACATTTTCGGGCTTGATATGGGGAGGAGGCGGCATGATGGGCGACGAATGCTTCGGGATGAGCGATTCCTATCGAATTATGGCAAAAACGGCACACGTCTGTGGTTCGAGGGGCGAAAAATGGTGGATTTCGCTCGACAACGGCGGGCAGCAAGTGTCGAAAGCGATAAAGTCCCTATTTGCGAATACACTGCCACGCGACGGCCCTTCAACGTCGGTTGGGGAGGGATCTTTGGCTCTGGCGGGCGTGTGCGAGAATTCAAAAAACAGGCCGAAGGGCTTCCCACTTCGGTTAAGCGACCTAAGTCACGTGATAAGAAGGGCAGTCAGCGCGACGCCGCGTGATCCTTCACTCCAAGTCATGGTATAAATATGCAATCTAGGCTGGGACTAAAAGAAGGGTCTAATCCCTGGCTATATTTCTGCCCGGGAATGGGGATTCAGCTCTGGGTGGTTCGTGAGCCTGGAGCCAGTCTGATATCCTGGAAGGAGCTCGGACTCGGACAATACGCCGGCTGGAGAAAACAATGGGGTCGCATTCCACCAGAGGGATTGGGTCCCTCTCCGTGATCAGTCAGCTGGGGAACCACTTGGTCGTGTGTACTCGGTAAGGACCTGGATCCTGTCGAGGACTTTGTACAAGTCACCATCCAGTCTGCAGGACGGGCAATGGCCATGACCTCCAATAGACCATGAAACAGACCATCAATGGCCGGTCATCACGTGTGGTGTATGATACGGTAACATCGAGAACACGTGAGGGGATGGAAGCGTCCATGCGAGAGACATTCAATGAGGAATGTAATACAGAAGCGGACGTAAGATCAATCAGAATCATAATAACAAGAGGCACTATGAATCCAATGGGTTTCGCTCATCCTTCTTAGGAGCTTCGATGAATAGACAATCGGATGATCCGTTCCCAAATTTGACTACTTTTTCCACATCGATCATCCGCTTTTTTTTTTTTGGTGGTGGTTGTTTTTTATTTTTATTTTTTACTAGGGGAGATAAACTGACTAATGAGACTAAGTAACTAGCTAGACTAGTTATATTTTACTCCATTTTTTTTCCCAGGTTCAGGGGGAAGAAGGAAAAAAGCTGAGAAGAGGTAAGAGGGAAGTTGGTTCGTTAATTAAAAACTAACATCCGAGATCTTCCCCCCAAAAACCAAAGTTCAAAGGTCGCCTCACAGACCACCCAATTCTTCATTTCCCATTTCTCTCTCCTCTTTCTTAGCCTCTCGACTTGTCACTCTTTCCCAAGTTCTAATCCTTGTCTCGGGACCTCGCCTTTTTGCTTCTTTTTTACTTTTCTTCCTTTTTATTCTTTTATTTCCACTTGAGCAATTATTTCCGGGTCAGCCTATTCGGTCGTTCTCTCCGTTGAACCCTTCCCCCCCAAAGTAATATTGGAAAGTCGTTCTCTCGCTCATAATTTAATTTCCTCCCACCATAACCGCAGCCTCTCCCTTTTGGTCGGTCCGCCTTCTTTCCCCTTACTCACTCGGCTCGACGCGCGAACCTTACTTGACCACATTCTCTTCCTACTTACCGGTCCAACCCACACAAACCCCCTCCCTTCCCGTGTGTGTGTGTGCGCATATAGTTAATTCACACCTCAATCGTCCCGATAATACAAAAAGATTAAGATAAAAAGAAAAAGAAACCAAGAACAACTTAATCTATCACGATGCCTGCCTACGAGCTTCGATCGGGAGGGGATGTGAAGAACAAGAAGCAAAGTGTGGCCGATTTGAAGTATCGACGATTGACAGAACTCAATGCTCGTCTGAAGGAAGACCTGGACCGTCCCCGGGTCAAAGTGTCCGAGGCTGCGATGTCGTACGTCGTTCCCAATTCCCACTTGTTCTACCCCTCGTGTGCGACCGACGGATACTGATACCATCCGTCTGGACTGGAACAGGCTGATTAACTACTGCAACAACACTCGCGACTTTATGGTACCTTCCGTATGGGGTCAGGTATGCGACGTCAAAATCTCCCCTCCACGAGGGACTCTGCGTCTAGCTCGTGCGATCGAAAACAGAATCAGGGAAACTAACCAACCTCCTCCCAGGTCGACAAACGCGATGACCCATACGCTCCTCAGCAGCAGGGAGGCTGTTGCACGGTCATGTAATGGATCCACGCCATTAACTAAGCTGGACTCGCCACCACGCGGTCCATTGTACCCTCGAACGCTACGACATCACCTTCTACTACCTAATTCTATTCTTCTCAATACCTCTTTTTGACCTTTGGAAACGTCGCATCGCTACTCACTCGCCACGACCAGGACCACGAACCGACAACCGATCAGCGGGGAGGCGCGGGATTTCTGGGTGCTCGTGAGGCTGCTCAGCCCCCGAAGGAAACACGCGCTGGACTTGCATGAACTTCGGACGCTGACGACGGGGAAGTGTACGGTCGCATTTGCCCATGGGATCCGCTGTTTGATGACCACGATGCACTTCGATACGCGACGTCTCTATTTTTTCCCTCTTACCTTTTTTCTCTGAGCTATTTGTGCCTTGATGTGTTGAAAATTCCCTTTCTAGCCTTGGCAGTATGCCCATTTCTTCCCAGTGATATCTTTGATTCCTTGATATTTCCTATGTTCTGCAGTTATGGATGGTGTGGGCTCTTTTTGTTTCCTTCTCCCTTTTTTTTTCCTCTCTCTCTCTCTCTCTCTGAT